CATGCTTTTCATTTGGACAGCATTTATTTCATCTTTTGATTTCATTTCTCATAATTTCAGGCAAAAAGAATGGTTTTAAAAGTGAATCTGTCAGTGATCTGMCAATGCACTTGATGTTTTCAACCACTTCACAGAACTCTGTTTCTCTGACAAATATATCTGTTCATTCTGCTTTCAAAAAAGAGGTGATTTTTACAATCAAGTATGTGATAAGATTTTGTTACCATAGGGAGGATACCATTATATTACAGAGGCAGTTTTTTACAATGTTATAGTGTTAATGTGGACCTCAATATGCTGCCAGGATGTCATTAGGGCTATGTAAGGGATTTTCTTTTAAGAATTTTAAGGAATTTGTTAAAATTTTGTGGTGTCAGTCTGTGTTTCTCACTAAAAAATGATCACATTATTGCATAAATTTTGGTTATTTTACATGCAAACTTGAGGCTGTTTTTGGGGTCATTTGTACAATTTTGAGACTTCCTTTATTCCTTAATTCATATTTTTGAATTAAGGAATAAAGGAAGGATAAGGAATTTTGAATTAAGGAATAAAGGAAATACATATCTCTTTGCTGTGTAAAAAAAAAATGTCAGTCACCACTATAATTATTACTCAAAATCTAATTTATTGATACAAAAATCCCCCAGTGGAAGCAGATGGATTTTTCTTCACTTTACCAGTAAAGATTGTATTCTTAACAATTGTTGAGAAGATTCTTTGGGATTTACTTTTCAAGTTCTTTCTGCTTCATATTAAAGCACCTCTGTGGTTCTCTTCTGGTTCTCTTGTATGCTCTTTTATTGATTACTTCCTTACAACTTCAGATGATATTATGCTTCTAATTATGGGTATTTATATTCTTTTGTCTCMTATTCTCTCAAATCAGTAGTAAGAAGGGTTCCAGCTTGTTTTTCTGTTTGAATTTATCCCTTTGTTAGAACTGAAAGAATTGGCTGCTCATATTCTTTGCTGATTTTTTGTGTAAGTGTAAAAAATTGCTAGGCAGTAACTGCAAATGAGTGTTTCTTCTTTTTTACTGACATTTTCACTACATTTGGTTTTAACAAGTGTTCATCTTTTCACTGGTAAATTGTTGGTTCCTTTTGCTTTTTTGCAGAGGACATCCAGCAGTTTTAAAGTTTTATGTTTGTRATCAGGCAGGTTGTGTAACATATACATGTTACTGTGTGTAAATTAAAATCAGCATATTTATATATATTATTTATATATAATATATATTTATRTATAACATTCTCCCTGAGCAATATGCCTCCAAAAAATCTGTCTTAATTTGAGGCTGCCCAGCAGGTTTTCAGTAAAACTGTCTCTCAGTAGTTTCATCAGGTTCACACTAATGTTTCTTCTTCAGTTCCTCTCAATCTCATCACCTCCTTGGTATTTTGTGTGACACTCTTGCCTTACACCCAGCACAGTTTTGTTTATTTTTTTTAGCAGTTTTTGGGGTGCACATGGCAGTGAACAGTACTCCTGTTTGGTAACAGAAACAGATAAAGCATTTTAAATTCATATGAAAAAGCATTTTTAATTCCATGGGGCCAGACAAACAGCCATGAACTGCACTGTAGAAGCAGCACATGGAGAACATTGCAGAATTTTATGTCCTGAACTTTTATTTTATATATATTAATACATCATGTATACAATGATTTACTGCTGCTTTATTAGACCAATAGAGTTAAAACAGCATTAAATGGACTCAAGGGGTAATTGCTTTTATGATTACTTCCAATGGCTTGYATGAGCCCTAAATCTTTAAATTAATGATCAGAATAGCTACAAACTGAGCCCTGGCCATTTAGGTCACCATCAAAAGGCTGCTCCTTTGGCACAGTGGTGTGGCTCCTACACAATTTGCAGACACTTCAAAGATAAGCTCGACTCAACCCCAATRCTCAGATAAATTGCATTAGTGTGGTCCTGTGTGAAGGGATCCAGGAGCACAGGATGATGGTGATTGAAAGGGTAGGATGGCAAATGCAGTGGTAGAAAAGAGAAGGGGTGTTTTGTGCAGTGTTTTCTTCTGCAAGAGCTCTTATTTGCCTCTTCCAGGAGAAGAGAGAGTTAGGAGCTGTTGCACTCTGTCAAAAGCACAGAGCTGTCTTTGCATTGATGCTTAAGTACCAAAARTAATGTCTTATATCAACTAATGCTCCGTTCCAGTTAATATTTCTGAGATAGAAAAGCCCCAGTGACCATGTGACAAAAGCAGTAATCCAGCAAAGACAAAAGTTAAAACGTTGTTTTTCCTTAAAAATCAAACAAAGCTGGAAAAAAGCTGGGTTTTTACAGCCTGGTCTATTGTGTTCTTTGGGGTGATTGGGATGCATCTGTCATGGCAAAGGAGAATCAGTGACTCAGGTCTCAGAGGGGTGGTAAATCACTGCAGTTATTCTGACAAAGGCTCAGAGCTTGAACATTCTCATTCTCCCTCAGAAAGTACACTGTGGAAAAGTAGTACATTCTTTTTCTTGTCACCTGCCTTGCACACTTCATCTTTTTTTTCAGACAATGCAGTAAGGAAGCTTTTCTTAAGCAGTACATAACTTTTCTTTTAAAATGGTTTGTAGCACTGAGCTTATAGCATAAAAAACGTGAGAAATTAATTTTTAAATATGCAGAATTTTCTCATCGATTTGGGTGATCTTTTTCTGCTGGATTTTTTGAGTTTCTCCACAAAAACTCTTGCAGTCATGTTTCCTGTAATTATCTTACTCCTTGTCCAATGTCTGTGTTTTTACTAAGGCTTGAAGACCTGCATTGCTTCTTGTATATATTTTAGGAAGTTATATCTAATCACAGCAACAGAACAGTGTTAAAATACAGAGAAGATTGTAGCTGATCACTAAAATCCCTCTTCTGCTCATTGTTATAGTACTCACAAACATTTCACCAACTTAAATACTTGAAGGGATATCCCTCCAGCTTCTAGAATGAAGTCTGATTGGGTTTTTCTGGTTTTTTTTTCCTGCCCAGGAACTGGCTTTGCTTATTCAGAAAGGCAATGTCAAAACAGCTACAATTTAGGAATTTAGGTGCCCAGATCCTAATGATTATTTAATGTGGGTCTTAGAAGGTAACTGAACCAAGGCAGCATAAAAAGGAAAAACACAGCAGCATTTCTCTTGAACTGTGGCATAGTGAGCASAGGGTTGGATGTATTTTGGCCATTCCATGCAATGCTCAGGGGAGAGGACTCACAAATGTTGTTGATGTTTCTGTGGAAAATGATTTTTTTTTCACTCTGTTATGTTCCTCACCACTTCCTAGGATTCCCCCTGGAGATAATTAGATATCATGCTGAAACACCTTCACACAAAGTGAATTTTGAAGAAAGCAAGCAGCTGGATGAGGATGTGTCTGTTGCTGAGGTTGAACAGTCAGCTTGTGTCCTTGAACAAAGCTCCCGATCTCAAAAGACTTTCTGCTGAAATATATGAATAGTTCCAGCAAATTTTGGAAAATTTCCTAACTAAAAATGGAATGAGTCATCCACATCGGTTTTATATCTGCTGTTAGCTCAGTTAATAGCCATGTATAAAGGAAAAATTATAAGAATCACAGAAGTTGTGTCTCCTACAGAGCTGTTTTGTTATGCAGTACAGATACTAAATTGCTTTCTAATCTATAATTCTGAACATTTTTTTCCAATTTTGTTCTTTAAGACTGAACTGTTTTCACATGGATAGGACATGACTTGTACATTTGAAGACTACATGTACTACACTACACACTGTATTTAGTATAGGACCTAAATATAGAGTGAATMTAGAAATAGCTTTTCATAATGTACAGTGGTGCTATCATGGCATGGTAACCAAGAAATAAATTTATCTTCATACAGGAACATTCATCTTTTCCTTGGATACAATACAAATTAGAGAGTTGAATGAATATGATACTTAAATAAGAATCTTAAAGAATAAGATAAATTCAGATAGAAGCAACCTGACACTTAAAATTAAGGCAGAAACTCCAGGWTTGTCCCTACTAATAGTATTGAGCTTTTACAGTTTTGAATAAAATACTCAGTGTGCTTGCATGAAACTGAACTTTGTTTTACTTATTACCTGCTGATCAAAAATTATTCAGTTATTCATACCTGGGTATGTATCCTTTCATATGCTGAAGGGAAACTGCATTCAGTTCTGTTCTTTTCATATTGTCTTGCCCATCATGAGAGGAAGAAAAATACCCCATGAATGTTTTACAGTCCAGTTCTAAACTCTGATGCAAGCCCTGATCAGTGGATGTTGTGGTTTAAAGATCTGACAAAGAGCAGAATGAACATAAGAGTTTGAAGCAGCCACRTTTTGTTTCCCACCCCATTAGGCAGCAACATGTGCTGTGCTGATTGACCATGGCCTCCAGCAGGGATCCAGGGACTTGGCCTCATTTCTGCAGATCTGTAGCAGACAAATCAATTGTTCAGCAGTCAGATTCCTTTGGAGTAAAATAAATCTATGTGCTATATAAAGAATAAATTACTTAACTGTAAAACTAGCCATAATATTGCTGTCTCAAATGGTGGCCTGTTATGTGCAGCTTTKAGGCAGGGAGGGAAGATGTCTGGCTCTGAATTCTATCCTGTAGTAAGTTATAWTTGCAGTTCTTACGAGAGCAAAAGGGAAAGAAAACGTTCAAATTGATTTGGTATCTCTTAGGAGACACAACATCAGGGGTGCCAGTGTTACYTGCAGTACCTTGCTGATTGCCTGTGTGCACAGGTCAGCAAAATGCTGTGGGAACTGCAGCTCTAAGAACATCTATCTTGGATTTTTTTCAAACTATATCTTAAAGACATGGTGAGTTACGTGATGTTTTTCCATACACGCAATGGGTTGGTAAAACAAATAAGGACTTATTCTCAGAAGATTTGATTTAACCCATTCTCCAAATATCAGAACATCCATCTCTCCTCCATCCTGAAATCYTGGGAGCTGACACTTCACCTGGCACTTGTTGCATTCGCTTTCCAGATCACGTCAATGGTCACTGTACAAGCCCAACATCGCAGAGCTGCAGTTCAGGCAAACGCCTTTCCAGTGCCGATGTGTCGAGAGCAAACCGCCGCGGGCCCGGCAGGCCCCCCTTCAGAAAAGCCCAGTCTGCAGCCTGCATGGAGATTTCTCTCCCAGTCACCACAGAAGGTGGGTGGCAATGACTGTTTTGCCAGATATTTGTGGATTTTTCACCGCGTGTGAAAGGGAATGAGTTCAGCAGGGGCTGAACTCGCGGTCATTGCCGCGAAATAACGCTTTAAATTATGATAGGAATCAGCAACATCATGACCCTTAATCCTCATCTTGTGAGGGGCATTTATATCCAAACCTACCCACCTGCATCACAGTTACAGCTGGAATCAGTATTCCCAATTTCACAATTGTTCATGAAGACATTCTATCACACAGGGTGTCTACCTTTGTATTTTTAAATGCAAATTGTTGCAAATAACTTCATGGTGAGATGATTTGATTTTTTAATCTTTATGGTAACAGGAAAGAGCACACTTTTTCCTCCACATTAATGATTGATTATGAATATAACATAACCCTTTCAACACAGCTCTATGTGCCACACGAACATGGTAAGTAACACTGTCATATAAAAGCTTCTGCTGGAAAAAATAACAATGCCACAGTAGGTTCTGTTGCTGTGTGTTTTTCTTTGTCCTATGTTGTAGCARACTCTCCTGGAATTCCTGTGTGCAGATACTGCTGCAGTATCAGCCAAGGCCACAGTATTACCTAATCCTTTTATGCTTCTTTTCTTCTTCCCTGCCATCATCCCAGAGTAAATAGGGTCACTGGCAGGCAGAATCCACTGACCCTTGGGTACAAAACATCCAGAAGMCAGTGATACTTCCCATGGCATGATTTCTGCATGCCTGTATCGTGACAGATTCACTTTATGTGACCCTTGRGTACAAAACATCCAKAAGCCAGTGATAYTTTCCATGGCATGATTTCTGCATGCCTGTATCATAACAGATTCACTTTATGTCATCCATCACAATTTATAAACCTCTCAAGTTTAATATAAAAGTGTATCTCTTTTAGAGATAATCATCTAACTTCCTTTCAGGCTCGGGAAGCAAAATAAATTAAGTGACATTAAAAAATCCCTATTTAAAAGTATCACTTAAATAGTACTAAAATGTTCAGTAAAGTCAGTGAAAAATGTGTTTCAAAAGCAAGCCAGACAATCTCCAGACTCATTTATAAATATCAGGATGTAACGTGATGGAGCATGGTTTGAGTTTGTCCTTGGGTGTGTGGATTTGGGTACAAGTCGCCTTTCAGCAATTCTGTTAACTCAAATAATTTTCTGATTTTCTGTATTCTCTCAGTGAAGCAAAGCTGCCTGTCCAGCTTGTCTAAACTGTGTTTCAGTTGGTGATATTCATCTTTTGAGTTCCAGCTCTGCTGCCTGATCTGCCTGGAATGACTGACATTCCACAGTTCTTCATGTATCTTGAATTTCTAGACACACTGTTTTGTCAAGTGGTTTGATATATCTCTAAAGGTTTTTCTGCTAAATAATATAGAAGGTGGTATGATCCTTGAAACATTCTTAGTTTGGGTGAGAGAGAAGGTAAAGGTTTGAGAAAAATATGCTGAGAATTAGAATTCTCTCTCTAATGTGAAACTGGCTTGGGTCAAAACCTTCTGGTTGAGCTGTTCCAAAATAAAATGAAAAAAATTCCTCTTTCTGCTATTGGCCACTTAGGAGCATATGCTGCAACAAACAATAGATGTATTCCCAAGAAATTATTTCCTTTATTTTTATATTCTCATGTGGTTGTGTCAAGATATGTATTTTATATAATTTCCTAAAAGATAGCATTTCAGTCTAGAATTTTGAAGGATTTTATCACTCTACCAGTTTGCTATCTCACTCCTCTTCAGGACTTCTTATACATTAAAAAAAAAAAAAATCCTTTATGTGGGGGTAAATGGTTCTTACCTTTTTTAAGCCTGTCTCCAAGGCACTGATAATATGTGGAGAGTTTTTTTATAATGCTTCTAGTTCCTGCTCTTTTGAACCTCTTCTATATGATTTGATTAAAAAGATAATCCATTTTGGTAAGTAATCATAAGATATRTATTAGAATAATAAATCAATCTTCTCCCCTCACACTGGATTTCAAAATCTACTTATTTAAATGTGACTTTCTGCTACAATAGGAACTGTATTGCCAGCATTTTTATCAAGTCTATTTTCAAGAAACAATAAATTCTTCTGACTTCATTCCAGTGAGCTGATTGTCAAGATTTTGCTGACTCTCACCTCTTTATTTGTGCAGAAGAATGCCTGATACAGACAAACATTTCTGAAAAATGTCTTTGCAATGATGAATCATAGGAAGGAAATGGAGGAGGGATGTCTTGTTTTCTGCTGGTTRAAATATTGCAAACTGCTCAGGTTTATACAAAGCTGATGTTTCTTCCACACTCATGGAAGAATTCAAAAGCCAAATAACAGTAGTAGAGGAGTGGTGGATCATTAAACCTAGATCCTGTTTCCCAGTATCCTCATCATCCTCTTTTATCCTTTTTGAAATGTTACATGTTGTCTCAGTATCTTCTGCTTTCATTAATGCAATACTTTCATGACTGGCATAAAAAATTCTGTAATGCCTCAATATTTTATGTCTAATTTTAGCAAGAAATTGGAACTTTGCAAATTCTTAATAGCATTTTATTATACATAAGGAAGAGATTTTTTTTGTGAGGGTGTAAAACACTGGAACAGGTTGTCCTCAGAGGTGGTGGATGCCCCATCCCTGAAAATATTCAAGGTCAGAGTGAACTTCTGCTGAGCTGTGGAAGCTTTCCATGATTATTGATGCTAAACAAACTTGTTTTCACAAAGTGGTGTATTTCTTGGAATAATATATTCATTTATTGTCATTGTAAAGAAACCCACAATTACAGGRAATTCCATTGCTGAGCTTCTAAAGTTTAAACTTCACATCCCTTTTGACCAGAAGTTTTTGAGACACCAGGAGTTACTAATTATATTTTTTTTAATAAGGCTTCCTTGCACAGCTTATAAATTACACTTTTTATTATCAAGTTAGCATTGTGCTCTTAAATATCAACAGTAATAAAAAAATGCACATGAATACAAATTAATCTTAGCCAARAAAATCCTTGCAGAGATTCTGATCCTTGATAACATTCTGTAGAATGGGAATATGTTTTGTCTCCAAGCTTAATGGATTTTTTTGAGGGCTGTAACCATTTGCAYTGCTCATGTTTCAGTCTGTTACTAGCACCCAATTTTTTTTTGCAGGTCCTCACAGAAACACTAAAACAGGGATTATATTTTTGTTTCACTTCTGGGGAAAATGTGTGACTTGACTGGTTTGCCTTTTGTCCTGTGGCACAGGTCCAAAATAGTCCACCTAAGCCTAAAAGCTCACATGGTAATTTTTAAACCTCCAGAGATCCCAATCTAATCAAGAATTGCAGTGTAGACCCCAAACGTGTGCTTCTTTTCTTCACAGGAAAACAAAACACGTGTTTCGGTTGAATTTTCAATTGCAATTTTAGATTAAAGAAAACACTGAATTAAAACTGTGGCATTATAGAATAAAAATAAAATTGCCATGGTTGTGGAGCTGGTGGGTACATGGATGTGTGCAAAAATGCACGTGCTGGCACAAATCTCTCCTTGCTTTGTGTGTTAGAACTATGAGAAGTCTTTCAGATTTGTTGGTTGTTAGGGTTTTTTTTTTGGTTTTTGTTTTTTTTTTTTTTTTTTTTTCAAAACACTGCTTTTTTAAGCTAGTTTGCATTCTCCAAAGGTTTTTCTCTGGCTTGTGCTGGCTGACTCTGCCATTTTTTCCTCCATACAGAAATCCTCAATACTGAAATTCTGCAGTCCTGTGTCCACATATGGTTCCTCCATCATGCATCGTGGGAAGAAAGTAAAGGCAGAGTGGGGTTTTTCCTTTGAATTGCTGTCTTTAGAAATTTATTTTCTTCTAGCAGCAATTTAAAAAAAAAAAACTAAATTTTTGTTACTATTTTTATTCCTCATTATGTAGTTTTTAATTATAGCCTAATCACCTTTTTCTAGAAAGGGCGTGTACATCTTGGTGTTACAAAATTGCCTCTGAGCAAGGAATCCTAGCAAGGTTTTGCTGTGCAAAAACACAAAATTACAAACACAAAAAACACAAAAAATTACAAACCTTGTAATTTTCTAGGAATGCTACGAACAAAGACTTTGAGTTTGCTTTGGTTTTCCTTTAAAACAATTCAATTTCAGCACTTAGGTTTTGGATTGACTCTTTTGGTTTTGTGTAGTTAAAATTTGATACAGAGCACTTGAATTGAAATGTCACTTTGAGCTGGCAAAAAAAAAAAAAACCCACTCAATTATTTAGTTATTATTTTTTAATAATTTTATCAAAATTCTATGGCAAGAACAACACAATTTCCATTTTAGCTGATCCAGTATATTTTTATACTTGAAGTTTTTCTTTTGTGTCTGTATATGCATAGAATGACTACGGTTGTTTGGGGATAAGTTGTTCCTCATTTGCATGATTTTGTCCAATTTGTTTTGGAAAATGCACAGTATTTGGTATGCACTAGGTAATTTAAACTTATTTTATTCATCAAAAGTATTTGTGAAAATCATCATTACTAAAAAAGCCATATAGGTWGCCTGTTTGAGAATTACAGATCTTTTTCTCCTGGTGGATTTTGGTTTTGGTGCTGAATTTTTGGAGGCTTTTGGGTTGTTTTCATATTTAGAAAATTTTACAATAATTTTCTATGTATTTATGGCAGCCTGTTACTTTGGTCTGTTGTTTCTATAACAAGATCTCCAAAGTCTTTGGATTGATCTGTACCTTTTTCAATATTAAAATTTTGTGAAGCCATAGAGAAGGGCTGACACTTGCTCTTGTAAGTGGTGTGGTGTAGTTGGAGTCTTGAACCATGATATTGAGTCATTATTTTAGAAAAAAAATCACTGCCTGAGGAAGCAGACTCACCTGGTGTGGTGCTGAGCACTGCAGTGTTTGCTGTTTAATTTATATAAAATTTATATCATTTTTTCCTTGTTAGCTGCAACTGTGCTGTTCAGCTGTSTCCAGCAGTGCTGTATCCTTAACACATTGGATTTTTTTTGA